AAATTCTTGTTCAAACTTTCCCTCAAACACCTTATGATCATGGATTCAATTGAGCACGAAAGTTCCATCAAATTATGAGAAAATAGCACCAATGGAATCACAAAATAATGCTCAATGAATTAAACCCAAAGATCAACAAGAGATCACATTGTGAAAGATGAAAAAATTCAACTTACCAAAGGTTGATCTAGAGAATTATCAAAACAACCTCAAGAATTTGCTTCAATTCAGCCCCAAGAACTAATTTCCCAAGCTTGGATGTAGAGAATTGATAAAGAAAATATGTTTGGATGAAGGTTTAGCTCAAAGATTAGTAAGCTTCAATGCAAGGCTTACTAACCTTTTTTTGAAAATGGAGCTTTGAGTGAATTTGGTAGATGGAGGGAATTGAGAGATTTTTTTAGCAAGGTGAATTTGGCTATCAAAAGCTTGAGATTTGAGTGAAATGAAAGCTCTATTTATAGAGTTTAGACTTGGGTATTAGTGGTGGTTTGGTAATTAATTCTTGGAGTCAAAATTTAAATTAATAATATATCTTTCAAAAATTGGAGCCAAAATTTAAATTAATGATATATCTTTAAAAATGAAGACAAATTGGAGCCAAAATTTGAATTAATGATATATCTTTCAAAAATGAAGAAAAATTGGAGCCAAAATTGACAAGCTTGAAATTGCTAATTTTATTTCAAAATTTCACTCTGTGCAATCGATTGCACTCTGAGAGCAATCGATTGTACAGTGAATTTTTTTTCAATATTGCACAAAATTCACTCTATGCAATTGATTACCCTCTAGGAGCAATCAATTGTACAGTGAAAAAATGAAATTTAAAAAAAAATATTTTTTTTTTTAGAATAGAGATTTTAGGAAAATAATACCGGAAAACCTTATTTATCAGATGCTTTGACTCGTACCTACAAAACACAAATATACAAAGACAAAGACAAATATTTTTTTGTATTTGATTAGAAGTTAGTCAACAACACAAGAGCAAACTTAAAGATAAGATGCAAATGTGATGACTGAAGCTATTATTAATGATTGTGACCAAATGACAAAATATGATATGAAAGTGCGACTGAAAAAGTTAGGGGAGAAATTTAGGGTACAACAGGGATCAAGTCAACAAATGGAAGCTCGAAATAAAATATTGCAAGACAGAAATGCAACTAGATGACATATTCACCAAACCTCTAAAGAAAGTGAAGTTCGAAGAGTTAAAGAAAAAACATCGGGATGAGAAGTCTCAAGAACATGAATTAAGAGGTGTGTTAGTTGTATAATTCTTGTTCAGATATATTTAGGCTTTTAGCATGTGTATTTGGGCCTGGGCACTTTGTCAATATAAAGGGCCATTATGTTGTAATCAAGGAATAATATAGATATACATTCAGTTAGAAAGTTAGTTACACTCAACTAACTCTCTCTCTCTCTCTCTCTCTCTCTCTCTCTCTCTCTCTCTCTCTCTCTCTCTCTCTCTCTCTCTCTCTCTCCTCTCTCTCTCTCTCTCTCTCTCTCTCTCTCTCTCTCCTCTCTCTCTCTCTCTCTCTCTCCTCTCTCTCTCTCTCTCTCTCTCTCTCTCTCTCTCTCTCTCTCTCTCTCTCTCTCTCTCTCTCTCTCTCTCTCTCTCTCTCTTCTCTTCTTCTTCTTCTTCTTCTTCTTTTCTCAAAATCATGTTTCTTGAATTCTTTGTCCAACAATATCTAAGTATTTCGTGGAAAACTAGGTTGAAGAGAAATGAAAATTTTAAAGGTGTCACGTAGTGGCTTGGAAATGGATGTTGGACAAAAGCAAGAGTGATATAATTATCTAACTATTAAAAATCAATTGCATGAACTTCTTAAATTATTCTTTCACTAGAAATTTTTTTACACTAAGGCTCTGTTTGACAAGACAATTTTTGAGCTTATAGTTTATAGTTTATAAGCTCATATGATAATAAAAAACCTGTTTGGTAACAGTCTTTTTATCTTGAGCTTATAACTTATTTTACTGACTATAGCTTATTTTTCAATCCCTATTTTAAATAGCATTTTACCTTATAACTTATAGTTTATCATTTTTTCTTCCATTTTTACTCTTGTTATTTTATCTAAAATCCACTACTATCTTTTATAATTTATGTTAATTTAAAATAAAATAATTATATATTAAATGTTTTTTATGTCATTTTAATTTATCAACTAATTGAACCGCTAATTTTACCAAACACTTCAATTAGCTTATCAGCTATAAGTCGTCAGCCATCAGTCATCAGCTATAAATAATCAGTCATCCGCTATCAGTCATAAGCTATAAGATATAAGTTAACTTATCATTCAACCACAGTTTTTACCAAACTGAGCATAGAAAATGACATTTAAGTAACCAAGTACTCCCTCTGTCCCTTTATAATTGTCATTTTTTTTTTTATACTTTTTACACATACAAAGAAACATAATAAGGGTTGTTACTTTTTAAACAATAATTTTTATTTTATCTATAATACCCTTAGTTATTCATTTTTTTTTCTCTCTCCATAATAATTATTATGGGTAATTTTAACAAAATAATAATCATTACTACTTTGAAGTTTGAAAGTGACAATTAAAATAAACAATGTTTTTCTAAAAAATGATAATTAAAAAAGAACGGAATGAGTAAAGTTTACTTTTTTTCATTCTCATTTTCTATTACAACATGACATGTGACACTCATTTTTCAACTTTTGTCAATTATTAAATCACAATTAAATATTACATATACTCATTCTCTCTTTTGATTAAAATTTCAAATTTCTCACATTTATTTTTCCCACACTTTTTTACTTTCATTTTAATTTTTTCATCTCTTTTTCTTTATTATCACTAATCATTTATTTTTTAATTTTAATAAAATTAAAATTTTATTTATCTCACGCGTCATTATCAACACAATATCTATTTTATTTTAATTAATCATTATTTTAATTTTTTTTTTGACAAAATTTTTATTTTTAATTCTTTTTTCTTTCTTCATCTCAGAGTTATTTTTTTTCTTCTTTTTGTATAATTATCTAATACAATTATATTTATATGATTATTGTTATTTTAAAATTAAGGAAATCATTTCAAATTTTTTATTTGTATCTAAATATATTTTATATTGAATCAAATAATTTTTATATTTCACGGGTCATTATCAACACAATATCTATTTTATTTTAATTAACAATTACTTCTATTTCAAAGACAATATTTATTTTTAAATGTTAAAAAAAATTTATCTATCTCACGTGTTTTTTTATATGATTATTTAATACAATTAACTTTATAAAATTATTGTTCATTTATAGTTAAATCACTCAAAATTTACAAGTATTTAAATATATTTTATATAATATTAAATAAATTTACCTATGCAGGAACACCTGTATTTTACTAGTTTGTTGATTACTGTTAAATTGTTTTATAGAATAAATATTAGAAAAATGAAGGATAAATCAGGGAGTTAATAGTTATGTTTTAATACTTAAATTAATAACAAAATTTATAATATTCAAATATTTTAAAATTATTTGTTTATCCGATTCATGCAAAGTTTATTTAATAGTGTTAACTATTTATGTTACACTATTGCATCTTTTTAGAAATACTTTTTAAGTTAAAGGTTTTAAATTTTATGATTTAAATATATTTTTTGGTTCTTGCAAATATAATTCATTTTGATTTCATTCTTGGTAAAAAAATTTTTTTATACAAATGCAATTTCAAAAAAAAAGTCAGTCCTTAATGAATTTCTTAATTAAAAAAAAGACGGAGGTGGCAAAATTTTCTCGACGTAGCATTTCATGAATTAAGGTTGCTAATGTTTTGGGATATGGTGGAGAGAAATCGAGTTATTAATGCTGTACAATAAGTGAATAAAAGACTTCTTTGTTTCTTATGATTTTTTTTTTAGTAAAATGAGAATGAGTTATGAAAGATTTTTTGAGTTTATGCATTTTGAAGGAATTTTTTTCTTTCAATTTAATTTAGAGGACGTTTGTTTCAAATTATATGTCAAGCAAATATTTAAAAAAATATTCAAGAATTAAATCATCATATTTTATTTCCAGACAATTTATTCTCGAAAAACTTTTTATGAATCCTTAAAATAAATGCCCCCTTAATAAAAAGGCAACTTTTAATTTTACATATGGTCAATTTTTCTTTAATTAATTAAATAAATTAATCAAATGCTATTTAGCTTTTAAAAATACAATTTTTTTTGAAAAATTAGGAGAATAAACCAATTTTTTTTTAAAAAAATGAGTGAGTAATTAATCAAGTGCTATTTAATATATATTTAAATTAATTTTACACAGTTAATCAATAACAACTATATATCTCATTAAATTAGACTAGAAATTTTAAATTACTTGTATAACATGTCAAAATGATATATTTTTATTGGATGAGTTTTAATTTTAAACTGTCAATGCATCAATATATATTAAACAGTCTTGCATTGATTTTTAGCAAAATTACTTATAAAAATATTAATTACAACTAGATTATTAATAATTTTACAAAAAAATATGCACTAGCAAAACAATTTTAATGATATGACAATGGCAAAATTACTTATAAAAATGTTAATTATAATTAGATTATTAATAATTTTACAAAAAAAAATGCACTAGCAAAACAATTTTAATGATATGACAATGAGGGCACCATTATTTTAATTTGACCAAAACACAAAAGTCGTTTCATGCATACATACATAGTACTATGTTATTTCTGTTATTTCAAACTATCTAAGTTGTTTTGGAGCAAAGGATTTGCCCCTGAAAGAGCGTTGAATCTGAAACTACTTAATACACAAATAATTTAGTTTAATGCAATAAAAGGTGCACTCTAAATCTTGCATTAAAAGAGAAAGCATATTCAAATGGAGAATTCAAAGTTATAATGTACTAGTTGAAGTCCATTGCTTTGATGGTTGTTCGCTAGAGTTTGCAGCAGCATTATCTTTTACTGATTTAGACACAAGTGCCTCTAGCTTTCTGTCTTCCCTGGTTGAGACATTAGTGCCTCTAACGTTTCTTGAAATTCCTTAGGGAGAGGAGGAGGTCGGTGTTGAGGAACATGCTTCGGAATTGGTGCATCGTTTTCAACCATCTCAATTTCGTGATCATCAGGGATGCCCCAAGGATCCCATTCTGCAATTCAATATATATGTCAAATAAATCATTTTTCCTAATCAGTTTATGCATAAACATTTCACCAAAATAGTTGGGAATAAAAGTTTCATACAATGAATGGTTATCATACAATGATGGTTTGGATACAAAAAATATATAGATTAGCAAGAAAAATTCAAGATGCAAATGATAATTTAAGTATAACAAAAACCGGCTTCAACTGTAAAATGTGAAACCAATAACTATCAAATTCATAGTGAAAAAAAGCCAGCATTGGACTTGATACAAAATATACATTTTATAACCAAGTCTCACTAATTAAGAAGGGAATCACATATAAGTGTAACTCATAAATTTCACTAGCCCCTATGACATTGAGATCCAAAATGTTCGATGAGTTTGGGCCCTTTACAAAAAAAAACTTATCTGGATAGATCTTTAAAATTGTAAGGCTAACGAAATCAAAATCCAAAAACATGTATTTTATACTACATATGAGAATAGAACCATAAGAGAAATCTCATGTGTCAACATACCATAAGTTCCATACAAAATAGAGAAAAATGAGAACCAATAACAAATGAAAAAAATATTAAGAGCATGAAGAGAGACTTGGATAATGACAAATAAATAGGGATGGAGGCTTGCAAAATCATAGAAGCATAGGTTGGTGTACAAGGTTAATAATGAAGAAAAAGATATGAGAGAATATTATTTATTACTCTGTAAAAGGAATGACGCCTACAAAGACAAAAGGAAAAATTATTAGAGTTATTGTTGCTACAAATGACAGCTACCACTAGTCTATTTATACACAAAGTAAATTGTCACGTAGGTCCTAATAAAAGTAAACTTAATGACTAAGTTAAAAGGTACAAATTAAGAAATACTAAACTTAACAGCTACGCTAACAAACTCAACTCCAGAATCCCAGAAGCTAAGCATACTTCTGGGCGTAACCTTAGAAGCTTCTGCTTCTGATTAATAACAACTTCTGATTACATCAAACTACTGCTTCTAACTAAGCAGTCTTAGAAGCTTACAGTTTTGGGCTAACAACATCAGAAGCTTCTGCTTCTGACTAACAACAGCTTATGAATATGAATTACTTCCAATATCATAGAGTGTGGCTCATGGAACAAAGACTCAGAGAGGAATATGTCTTGTGTGTGTATAAATAGAGATACTCAAAAAACAGATAGGAAAAGAGAGAGGGTCATAACAGAGGGAAATGGAAAGAATAGAAAAGAAACAAAGAGGTCAAAACTGAGGGTAACAGAGAAGCTACTTGTGAATGATAAGATGTGTTGTTCAACCAGGATCAATTTCATTCACCAGAAGTGATCTTTGAGATGGGTTATCTAATTATGTACAGTTGTGGCTGAAGGCAGCAAGAATAGGTTTTCGAAGTATATGATAATGTTTTTGAACTTGGTGATTATTTGGGATTTTTAATCATTATTGTTAATTGCAAATCGCAAAAAGTAGCAATTTGCTCAAATTTCACTACACTAGAGTACCGTAGCATCGCTAAAGCCGCTGTAAAGTTATTTCAGATGTAGTTCTTGCAGTAAATACAGGCATGTACATTCTAATTTCTATGCACTCACATGATCACATACATACATTAAACACGACATCCAAAAGGGCAAGCAAACATCATTAATAATTTGAAAAAATTGAACTTATGAATGTAAATGTAATCACATTTGCCCGATATTTTTTTTGTTTACAAATCACCTATGAAACTCGGACACAGATACAGACATTTAACACAACACCAACCCTAACACGCCTTTTATTCCAAAGGTATTCGTGTTACATATCAAATCATGAACACATAATGGATATATTATACCAATGAAATAAGGAACTAGAAAATTGTAAAATTCAGAAGAAAAAAAATGCATTCGCATTTTCCACAATGCAAAAAGAAAGAGAAAAAAAAAATACCAATCATATGTCCAATGAGTTTGAGTTCATCCTGAGTCTCTTCAATGAGTTCCTCAACCTATCCACAACCAATCCGACTCTCAATTTTCTCTCAATCTTCTTCCTCTTGACAAATCTTAAGCCTGTGATTGGTAAAGCTTTCAACAGCTTTACGATACCTTTCGTCTTCTAGAACCTTCTGGATTTCGTTCAGTGTTTTACTGTAGAGTCCAATCAACACCTCCCTCGTGTTTGGAACAACGTCTAGTCCTACGATCCCTGTTGTTTGCTTTATCTTCGCCATTAACGGCCGCGCCACCGCATGGACAAACATTTCCGATCGATTTGCGTTTTTCTCAGTGTTCTCGCGGGAAGGGGAAGTTACGTTTTTTTTCTTCTTCTTACTATTCTTTGGGCCGTTTTTAATGGACCTCTTTTGTACCGTGTTTTGGCCCATATAGGTCACTTAACAATTAGTAATCTAATATTGTCCACCTGTTCTCTTTTGAAAAATCAGATGTTGTTGGTATGAATGTTAATATATTAGAGGTTGGTGAAATTGTTCTTAAACATGATGTTGTTCTGGTTAATGATAAAAAATATTTTATTATTAAACAGACGTTTATGCTACATAATTATATTTTTAAATTGTTTAGTGTGGAATTTTTTAAGTTAGATTTTGATGCGGTTATCGAGAGATATCATTCGAGTTTATATGGAAGGAAACATTTTGTTATGATGGCATCATATTATAGAAATATATAAGTAAAATATTATGACAAATGTTTGCAAATTTAATATGTTGTCTTGCATACATAATCATGAATTGGATTATAAGTTACTGATAAGAAAAACAAATATAAAATAAAAAATACCGAGAAACAAGTGTGTGAAAGTTTTATATTTATTATAAAAGTGAAAATTAAATACTTTATAAATAAGAGAACTTACACAAAAAAATATTTTAATATTCTCTCTTGTTGAATCCCGCGTGTGTTTTTTTTACCATGTAATTTAGTGTTAGAGTTCACACTTTAAAATTAAACAAATAAGATTGCAAAATCGAACTTGCGACTATGCATTTGATGTCTTTGCACAACTATCAACGATGAAAAAAATGTGTTTTACTTCAAGAACATATGTTTCGAATATGCGACCATGTAATTGATATTCTTGTATGGCTACCAATGATAAAAGAAACGTGTTTTACTTTAATAACATATATTTATTAAGAAACACGTTTAACTATATAAATATTTAAATGGTTTAAATAGTTTTTTGGTCCCTCTAAATTGACATGTTTTTTATTTTCGTCTTTGTATCTTATTTTCTTAGAAATATTCTTTGAATATTAAAATTATTTTAGTTTTAATCCATAAAGTTAAAATCAATAGAAAAATTTACAGATTTCTTATTGATTTTTCTTTGAATTTTTCTATCTATTTTAATTTTAAAAATTAAAATCAAAAAGATTTTAACATTTAAACATTATTTCTAAGAAAAATAAATTACAGGAATAAAAATAAAAAACATATCAACTTGAAAAAGACTATTTAAACCTATTTAAATATATTTGCCATATTGCATCTTTGGCAAGGGTGCAGAAACGACCAAATATTAACGGTAATGATACTCTCAGAACTTAAACACCATTTATTTGTTAAATTGTAATTCATATGTGTCAAAAGAAGATTTGATTTGTTTAGATTTAAATAGATTTGAATTTAAATTTAGATTAGATTTGATTTAGTAAAGAGATATTTTGGGCTTGGGTTTAGCTTAGGGAGCAAGCTAACCTAAATCTATAAATAGAGGGAGTAATCCATATTTTGTAATTCAACTCATTCACAGTATTTTGCAGTTGCAAAGTGAATTAATAAAGATTCCACAGTTTGTGGGCAGAATAGAAATTCTGCAGAAATATCTCCATTGTTCTTTTATTTGTTTGTCATAACTAATCATTAGTGGTGGTCGAAATTCATCATAGTGTATTGGTGGATTTCCAACATCTGGTATCAAGAGCTTGTGTTTCGATTCAAGGGAAGTATCAATCAAGAACGATTGAAGAATTCACGATGACAAGTTATGGGAATGCAAACTATCCAGCAACGCTGCCAATTCTGAAAGTTGGCAACTATGAGAATTGGTGCAAGCAGATGAAAGTCCTATTAAGGTGTCAAGGCCTTTGGGACCTTGTAAAAGATGGAGTCGAAGCGCTTGGCGAAAACGCTTCAGAAGAAGAAAAGAAAAAATACACAGAATCTGAGAAACAGAGTTATAAAGCATTGTTTATAATTCATCAATGTGTCAGCCCAGACAACTTCGAAAAGATTAGTGATTCAGAATCTGCAAAAGAAGCTTGGGAGATCCTGGAGAAATCTTTTGGAGGCGCTGAAAAGGTGAAAGAAGTGAGGTTACAAACTCACAAAAGGACCTATGAACTGCTTCAGATGGAAGACAGTGAAAACATATCTGATTTCTTCACTAGAGTTACAAAACTAGTGAATCAAATCAAGACATGTGGAGAAACATTAACAACAAGAGTTGTTGTTTCGAAGATCCTGAGATCCTTAGCTCCTAAGTTCGACCACATAGTGGTGGCAATCGAAGAGGGGAAAGACTTGTCGAAATTGACAAAGGAAGAGCTTCAAGGGACGCTCGAATCTCATGAACAAAGAATGAACGAAAGAGCTGCAGGAAAATCGAAGAGTGATGTGGCCTTGCAGGCACATGCAGCAAAAGAGACCAAAGGCAAAGGAAAGTATTTCGACAAAAGTAGAGGTGGCTACAACAAATCGAATGGTAGAGGAAACCAAATCGAAGGAGACGTATCGAATCAAAGAAGACCACACCAAGGCAACCAAAGAGGTGGTGCTGCAAACAGAGGAAGAGGTGGTGGTCGAAAACCTGATAAAAGTCACATTCAATGTTACAATTGTCAGAAGTATGGTCACTATTCGAGTGATTCTCCAGAAAAACGAAAGAATCAAGAAACTGATGCAAGGCTTGCAAAACATGAAGAAGAAGAAGAGATGATGCTGATGGTCACAACAAGAGATGAAGACAGATTCAAGGACCAATGGTACTTGGATTCAGGATGTTCATCACATATGTCTGGAAGGAAAGACTGGTTCGTCAATATAAAACCCTCAACGAAGAATATGGTAAAATTTGCAAATGACAACACACTAGCAGCTGAAGGTATCGGTGATGTTATGATCATGAGGAAAGATGGTAAGAAGTCAGTAATTTCGAATGTATTGTACATACCAGGCATGAAGAGCAATTTGCTCAGTATAGGGCAGTTGGCGAAAAGAATTATAAAGTGTCAATCGAAGATAAGTTGATGAGTGTCGTTGATGCAAATGGGAGAGTAATCTTGAAGGCTCCTATGTCTCAGAATCGAACCTTCAAGATTGAACTAAATGTGATGGAGCACAAGTGCCTTTCGACTGCAGCTAGCAGAGATGAATGGATATGGCATTATAGACTAGGTCATCTCAACTTCAGAGATATCAGAAATTTGAAGAGAAGAAATATGGTTTCAGGATTTCCTGAAATTGATATTCCAAACGAAGTATGTGAAGAATGTGTGCAGGCGAAGCAACACAAGAATAGCTTCAGCAAGGATGCAGGAAGCAGATCGAAGGCTAGTCTCGAAATCATATACTCTGATGTATGTGGACCAATCCAGGTGGATTCGATGGGAGGTAACAAATACTTTGTTACATTCATAGATGATTTCAGTCGAAAGCTATGGACTTACCTGATCAAGAAGAAAAGTGAAGTGATCAAAGTATTCACCAAGTTCAAGTCCATGGTCGAAAGACAAAGTGGTCGAAAGCTCAAAGTTTTGAGAACTGATGGTGGAGGAGAATATGTGTCGAAAGACTTCGACAAATTATGTGAAAAAGAAAGGATTGTGCATGAGGTGGTGCCACCCTATACTCCACAGCAAAATGGAATTGCAGAAAGGAAAAATCGAACCATCATGAACATGGTGAGAAGTATGTTGAAAGGCAAGAATTTACCCAAAGAGTTCTGGGGTGAAGCTGTTTCGACTGCAACATACATTTTGAACAGAAGTCCTACAAAGAATCTAAAAGGAATTACTCCAAAAGAATGTTGGTCTGGTGTGAAGCCTAGCTTAAGTCATCTGAAAGTATTTGGATCTATTGCACATAGACATGTGCCAGATCAGTTGAGAAAGAAACTTGATGACAAGTCAAGTCAAATGATCCTAGTTGGATATCATTCGACAGGAGGCTACAAGTTGTTCGATCCAAAGAACAAGAAGATTGTGATCAGCAGGGACGTGATCATAGATGAGTTCAAAGAATGGGATTGGACTGCAAATGTCAAGACAGATTCAGTGGGAATCTTATTCGAAGAGCCATAAACTCAAGTCGAAAGAGAAGTTCGACAAGAGGAGCCAGCAGATATACCCAGTACAAGCAGACCTCAAAGAACAAGACGCATGCCTGCAAGATTGCAAGATTGTGTGATTACATCAGATGATGTGATATATGATGAAGGTGAGCTGGTACATTATGCTTTCTATGCAGATGTCGAACCTGTTAATGCAGCTGAAGCATTAAAGGATTCGAAGTGGGTGAAAGCAATGAACGAAGAAGTAAAGTCTATCAAAGACAACAACACTTGGTCACTTGTCGAATTGCCCCAAGGCAAGAAGGCAATTGATGTCAAGTGGGTATACAAAGTGAAAACGAATTTGAAAGGTGAAGTAGCTCGACACAAAGCAAGATTTGTGGCGAAAGGATTTCTACATAAAGAAGGAATAGACTTCGACGAAGTTTTTGCACCTGTTGCTAGGATCGAAACAATCAGGCTGGTTGTTGGTCTAGCAGAAATCAACAGTTGGCACATATGTCAGATGGACGTGAAGTGTGCATTCCTAAATGGACCCTTAGATGAAGAAGTCTATGTTAAACAACCAGTTGGGTTTGTGAAACATGACGAAGAAAGAAAGGTGTACAGGCTACATAAAGCCCTGTATGGTTTGAAACAAGCTCCAAGGGCTTGGAATAAGAAAATTGATAGTTTTCTAAGGGAGAAGGAATTTGTGAAGTGCATAATTGAACATGGAGTATATGTAAGAAGAAGCAAGAGTAAATTACTTATACTATGTGTGATACGGTGGGAGAACTGACTAGTGTTTTGCGTTCGTATTCGCACTTGTGCGGTTGAGCAAGAGTCGCCACCGACTTTTTATTTTATCCTAAAGGAAAGGTTAAAAAAAGCACAGCAAAAACCTTTTGAGATGTTTCGTGGGTTCGGGGGGTAGATTATGAAAAGGGAAGGTATTAGCACCCT